TCCCAGGGGAGGTGACGGGAATGGGGCAGGCGTGCCCACGTGCAAGAGGTCAGGTGGGAAGCTGGGAGGGGTGAGTCAGCACCACTCTCAGAACGGGACAAGCAGAGCATCGAATGACAGCGTGGTAAGAGGTCACTTGGTACCACAGAGGTCAAGGCGGGGCCCCAGGGTGAGACTGGTCAAGACCGTGGGCTCCATGCACGGGAGCTCCCCCACGACATGGAGCTCATGACCCTGAGATCAAGAGCCGAACTGCGATCAAGAGTCAGACGCTTAACCAACTGAGCCACCCAGGCGCCTCCATTTTACTCCATTTAGATATCTGCAATCCTAGTTAGCAACAGCAACAAAAATGAAAGCATCAATTTTTAGGAAGGGGAAGTTGAGAGGGACATTTGCAATGCAAAAATCAATCAAATAACTCCAAAAACCTCACTAAATACTATCTATCAGTGTAAAGGAAGCTTCTTCTGATTTAGCAAAAGCACTGAATATCTATGAAAGAGAAAGCCCTTTATCTCTGTGGATGTCTTAAGGGCTGTCACAGCATCCGGGCCCATTGTCTATACATGTTATCTCATGTATTTACACCGCGAATCTACAAAGTAGGTCCTAACACATTAGCCTAATTTTAGAGATGAAGAACCAAACCCAGGAAGGTTAAGTCCTGTTTGTGCAGCTAATGGCAGACAGAGGTGGGCCTGCACACCAAATCCTTGACCAGGAAATCCTGTGCTTCGCGGACACTGGGGGCCCCCACAGGACCCCAGGTGCTTATGAATGGAGAAAACCGACCCATACCGGCTGCCAAACCCTGGCATCTAGCAGCCTCTGCGTGGCATCTGCAGCCAGACCCAGAGGAGAAGGCCCCAAGGCCAGTCACCAAACGCTCTCATTCCTAAGGACTCTTGAATCACTGAAGCTGAAATTTAAAGTAGCTCCCGCCAGCCCTCCCCCGCTGCACACACACCAGCAGCCCCTACTGTCAGACAGCCTACAAGATAAAGGTGCTGATTTCTATGGGTGTTGGAGCTCCCTACCTTAAGGTCTGATGTAAATCGGTGTTTCTGTTCCCTGTCCTCACATGAGAGACAAAGGCAACCTCCTTAGACCAGGCAGCAAGTGCAAACTCAGCCAGAACTGCTGGGGGGCTCTGGGGGTGGGGCTGTGCCCACATCACCTTAAGAAGGGGAGCCCCCCAACCTCCCACCTCACAGAGACCAGAGAACGTATTGTCAGGTGCCACACCTGGGCTGCTTGGCTCTGCCGGGGGGGCGGGGGGAGGCTCCCCGGCTGCTCCCCCTGGCCCCCTAGACGCCGGGGGCCTCACTATTCTGCCGCACCAACTCTCCCTTTGTAAGAACCTTCCAGCCACCCACAATCCAGCTCCTGTAACAGACTTTGAAACATACCTCGTGCCTTCCTAATTCTGCTAATGCCATCCCCTTCGATGTGACTCTCCCTTCTCTGCAACTGTCTCAGAACCCTGGCTGCTCTCCCAAGCTCAGACCCAACCCTTCTACTGCCACAGAACTGTCCTGGCCTCTCCCCAGCCCTGTGAGCCCCTGAAATCCCAGAGCATCGACTACCCTATTGCATCCCCCAGCCGGCCTTTCTGCTCTGCACACCAGTCCTACCACCTTTTATGCATGCATGCAACCATGTATGCATCTACCCGTCCGAGCATCCCGCAAATATTTATCAAGTATCTGCCATATGCCAGGCACTGTTCTGTCCCTTCTCCTATCCATTCTCTCCCCACTCTCCAAGATGACTATTTTCCACCTTCTGCTCTCCCCCAAACCTCCACCACCCATCCCCTCAGCAACCTCACCCCATCTTGTGGCGTTAGGGACCATCTTAGTCACACCCATGGGGCCCCTGCCCTGACCGACCACCTACACTCCAGGCTCCAGCACCCAATACCATCTCCAGTTGGGTGTCCAACAGGCAACGTGCTGGAGCCAAAACACAATTCCAGATCCCCATAAAACCCTGCAGCCAGCTCCCCCGCTGCCGATTAATGATTCACCCATCTGCGCAAGCCACGGACGTCGGAGACATCTTTGTCTCCTCCATGGTGTGTCCTATCTCCCCGTGTCCATCCAGCAGTAGACTCTGTCGGTTCTGTCTTCCAACCCTCTGCCTCTATCCCCACGCTACAGTCCAGTCTAAGCCCCTGCGGTTTCCAGCCAGCCCAAGGAATAGCCTCCAGCAGGTCTCCCTGCTACCACTCTTGGCTCTGGATATTCTTTACACAACAGCCAGAGTGATAGTTTTATTTATTTATTTATTTATTTATTTATTTATTTATTTACTTTAAAGATTTTATTTATTTGACAGAGAGAAAGACAGAGGCTCGATCCCAGGACCCTGGGATCACCAGAATTTTAAAACGTTTAACATTTCTAAGTCCCAGGGCACACAAAGCCCTAGATGATCTGGCTCCTGCCTGACTGCACCTGCTACACTCACCTCCAGAGTCAAAGGCTTTCTTGCCAATTTCTCACAAATGCACCAAACACAGGACCTTAGTGCTTGCGACCCTTCTGCCCAGAGACCCTTCTCCTCGCCTATTCAGGTTTCTCCTCAATGACTTAAACCCTCCCTCCGTCCCCCATCAACACTAACAACCCCTTCTTGGCACTCTTCACCTTCCTACCCCTTCACAGCATTTATCACAACCTAAACGTTTCCAATGTTCATTGTGCGCCGGTACCACCTGTTTCCTCCAACAGAAGATCAGCTCCACAAAAGCAAGGATTTGCCTTTTGGTTCATTGCTGTACTCCTAATGCCAAAATAACATTGGCATATAGCAAGGACTCAATAAATATTTGCTGAAGGAATGAATGAATGAGTCCTGTGTAGCTGTTCTCTTAGAACCTATGTCTGATCTCCTGTGGCCCGAGGTTGGGCAGCCTACAACCAGGGGCAACATCCACTGCATCGTTCATACTTTCATCTTCCTACACCTCCTAGCCCAGGGACAAGGGCAGGTACAGGGCCAGGATGGCAATCCGCTTACACAACCAATGGGAAGTACTACCTAGCATGCGGGGATGGAAGGACCTGGGGGCCGGTGTATGTTTAGGATTATTGATTAGTGATGTGCACCAAGGGCATGGGGTAGGGAGTAAAAGTACAGTCTCGTGGCTGCCACATCTGTTAACCAGGGGATCCCTTCAGGCCAGACAAGACAGCGGGATAGGCAGGGCAAAGCAGGCCAGTCTTGGCCAGTCCTCAAGTTTGGGACGCTCAGGAGACAGGCAACTAACCCACATGGCAGCAGATGCCAATGGGCCCCAGGGTCCCCGCTGACGCTGCCCCATCAGCCCTCTGTCCCTGGACAGACCCTCAAAGAGAATGTTGGCAAGTACAGGAACCTCGCCTCCTGCCCAGATCCCCCCCCCCGCCACACACACACACACACACACACACACACACACACACACACACCCAGCCGACCATCTCAGCCGTTACTGCACAGCACTTTCGCACATGCCACATGCCCGGATGCGGAGACTCAGGGGTGTGGCCCTTTGTCCCAAAGGCATCTCAGACTTGGGGGCAGAGGCAAAACTGGCCCCACATACAGCGGGCCATTCTGCTCCCATGATGTTGCTCTCAACATCGGCTAAAGGGTTCCAAAGGCACGAATCCAGGAAGCCCAGCCACTCCTTGCTGCAGGAGACCAGCACGAATATACCCGGAGGGCAGAGGCCCTGGGTCTTTCTGCACAGCCATGCTGTTCCCTTGCTCCCTGTGCCCGAGCAGGCGCAGAAATAGTGAAGGTACAGGAGCATGGTTCCTGTCCCTGCTACCAGGCCACAGCCACCCTAAGCTGGCGGGGGGGAGGGGTGGGGTCCTCCACACTGCCATGTGCTGACCCAGTCTCCATTCTGACCTGCAGCTCCCAGCTGGGCCCGGCTCTGGCCACTAGGGGTTGGAGAGGAGGAGGGCTCGTGTTCACCTTGGGGACCCGAAGGAGACCCCTTCTCCTGTTCTTCTCTTTCAAATGCAAGCTGGCAGACCGGACCCCCGTTATAACATTACTGTAGTGACCACGGGGCTTTTCATACCGGCCGAGATCTGTCACGGCCACCCTGGGCAGCTAGCTGGTCTCCATGTCCCCACTTTCAGGAAACCGAGGTATTTGCTCCCATCGTAGGTGGGGAAGCAGCGGCAATAAAACCAGAACCCCCATTTGCACTCCCGGACCAGTGAGCCCTCCTGCAGCCACCACGGAGAGCGAGGAAGAAAGAAATCACCAGCCACGCAAAACGCAGAAAAGGAATCCTTTCTCTCCAGAGATTATGGAATCAAAGGCATTTTGTTGCTTCTTGGAAATTTTTCTACTTATGACTCGGAGACCACACACAATTCAACAGGGTTCCCATTATTATTATTAAAGTTCCTGCCTCCTTCTTTACGAACTTTCAAACAGACTGAGAACACAAGCGTTTACCTGCGCTCACCGTGGGACGGGGCGAGCAAGTCGCGCGGGCTTCCAGCCCCCTCCTCCCCGGGGCTCGGCTGCAGGGCTCCCGCAAAATCTCGAAATCCCCCCGGATCTGCGCGGTCACTGAAGGAAGCAGCCCGGCTCTGAACAAGCCCAGGCAAGCCCAGGCAGAGCCCGCTTCTGGGTCCTCCTCCTGCGCGCACCACCCGGCCCCGGGGCGGGGGACGCGGCTCTCCAGCCCGAGACCCCCGGGGTCGGCTCGCCCCAGACGGGTGGGGCGCCGGCCTCTCCCGCACCTGAAAAGCGAATGGGCCAGGTGGCGACCGGAGCGGCGCTGGGGGCGGCGCCAGCCTGCGCGGGCTTCGGGGCGGGGGCGCTGCCGGCGCCGGGGTCACGTCGGGGGGTGGGGAGGGTGCGCGCCGCCCTAGTCCCCGGCCGGGCGCCCGGGAGGGGGACGGCGAGCGCTCGGGCCGTGGAGCCGGCCCGCCCACCGCGGGGGCCCGGGCGCGCCTCCCGGAGCCCACGTGCCGGGCTCCACGGCCGTCGCCACCCTTCCGGGGCCCCTCGCCCCTCCGCGGCGGGACCGCAGCCCGAGCGGGCCGGGGGGGGATTGTAAGAAAGCAAACAGAAACCGCGGAGCGCTCGCGATGCCCAGCCCACACGGCCTCTCCCCGGGAAGAGGGAAGAAGGCACCCTCGTCGCGTCCCGGGCGCCGGCGAAAGAGGTGTCCCGGGTCTGGACCTGTCGTCGCCGACGCTGCCGGCCCGGAGAGCTCCGAGTTCGCACGCAGCCCCGGATTTAAGGAGACGGGAAAGGACTTCCAGGGCCGGGACCCGGCACCCCCGCCGCAAGCCACCGCCCGCCGGCCCGGCGCCCCGCCCCCACTCACCGCGCCCCCAGGTTCCGGCGCTGCGGGCCACTGGGGGGCCTGGGTCCGGCGCGGCCCGGGGCGCAGGAGACGGGGGCGCGCGGCAGGCTTCGGCTCGGCCGAGGGGCCGGGCGCAGGCTTCCCGCACCCGCCTTCCAGGGGCCGGGGGACGAAAGCACGGACGTGCGTCGGGAGCACCGAGTTGCGGGGAGGAGCCGGGCCGCCCGCAAGGTGCGCGCCTCCCATTTCTCGCGGTTTCCACGCTGCCCTGCGCCTGGGCTGGGACGCCCTCGCGGTTGGTCGGAACGCAAGTGCACGGAAGGCTCCAAGGATCCCCCTTCCTCTCTCGGCTGTGGGGAAGGGGATCCCCAGCCACTACCCCGCTCCCAACCTTCAGATCCCACTCAGTCCGACCTGGTCGGGACCTCGGGGCCTTTGGGAGACAAGCTGCCCGGGCGCTCCCTCTGCCAAGTGTTTCTGCCCTGGGGGTTGTTGCAGGACAGAGATCTCTTCGTGAGAAGCAAACCGTCCTCGCAGACCCACACTCACAGCACTCGCAGGACTCCACGGGATGCTCCTGTGACCTACCCAGCAGGCACCGGTCTCTCCCACGCGGACGAAACTGAAGGGCGAAGGTCCTTTCGGTGATGCAGCGGCTCCCTGACGCGACAGCAGAAGCTCATTCGTCGTGTACTGCGGAGAAAATGGCCCTTGTGGGGACAACTGGGAAGCGGCTGCTGCCCAGGTGGGTAATCACATCTGGGCACACTGGAGGGAGCAAGTGGAGGCCAGGTGTGAGCTGCTCCATTTGATGGATGAGAATCCTGAGGCTCACAGAGATTAGTCTGTGTGGAGCCCAATGTCTCCCCGACTTTTCCAGAACAGTCCTAGAAAAGGAAAGAGCCAGCCAGCAGGTGAGAATGCCCAGGTGCAGGAGGATGGCTGCAGGTCAGGCCGACCTTGCCCACACCAGCGGTGCAGGGGAGGGGACAGTTCCCCACCCACCCTCACCCCAGGATGGCCATCACCATGGGGGCAGATGGGGTGAAGATGGCCTTCCCAGATCCTCAAAGTCTCAGGAAGATTCAGATGAGGCCAGTGGCTCTGGAGGCAGTGTGCATGGAGATGGAAAGGAAAAGGGGGTTCTACTCCTGATTTACTGATGGCCTTGAGCAATCATAATAACAGCCTTGAGCGCTCTCAGGATGAGGGGCATCATTGTGAGCCCTTCCGCAGGCAGACTTGTTCAATCTTCAGACAGTCCTGTGAGATTGGTACCAGTACTGCCCCCCCGTTTCCAGGTGAGGACATCGGGGACCACAAAGGTAAACCTTGGCCACCACCACGAGGAGGAGAATGGGCCAGAACTAGGACCCCATGCATGCCTTTGAGACCCCCAGCCTCACTCCTGAAGCACTTGCCATTTTGCCTCAATTTTGCAAATTGCTTAGCCTCTCCAAGCCTTGGTGTCCTCCTGTGCACAGACGGCATCAGGTTCACGGTAAGGATTCAGAAAATCCCGTGGAACCTCTGCTCCTCCAGACAATTGGATGCACAGCACTAGAAAGAATGCCTGCAAAATGCACTTTGGTGCGTCCCTCGCTCATCTAAGGGACCTCTGGGGAGTGGCAGGCCCTGAGGATGCATTAGCTCTCCGCTCTATGCATATAGACACCTGGGAGCACCCTGTTGGAGAGCCTCTGCCCTCAGTGGCCCTTTCTCTTCTTGCTTTCCTTGAACAGCCACTGAAAGGCCTTGACCCGGGCAGCCAACAGTCGAATGAATTCCTTTTGGAGACACCAGGTTCTGGCAACTAAAGAATTGGATTCTTACCCACTTTTTCATCCAGAGAGGCCAAACTATATCCGGGCCTTTTTTTTTTTTTTTCCCGTTAAGCTTTTTTATGTAAGTGAGGACTGTTTTACAAAGTAAGTATATGCCAAAGTCTATCGCACCATGCCCCCAGTCCTACCAGGCTCAAGGACGCCAAGTCCATCTGTATTTCCCCTAGGACCCACCCAGCACCCAGACATACACATACCCCTAACTTACGGAGAGAGGGGGGCTACGGAAGTAGCGTGGACAAGCTTTGAGGTAAGTCCCCGGCTGCGCCGAGTTGTATCGCCAGACATGGCTGTGAAACAATGTGCCCAGAGGCCTTCAGGCCTGAAATGTAATCACAGATGCCCAAGGAGTGCCGCTCTCCGGTCAACCTATGGATCGATCTTGTCCAAAACTGTGAATAGAAAAAAAAAAAAAAAGAAGAAGAAGAAGATAACAGTGTCCTGGGGTTAGGTCATGGTGATGGCTGCACAGTTTTGGGAATACACTAAAACCTACTGAACGGTACCCTTATAAGCGGTAAAATTTATGGCAAGTCAGTTATATCTCAGTAGAAAAAAAAGGAGTCACCATTCTTCCTTACTGGCTAGAAAGATGCGGCAAGAGCCCAGCCAGTCATTTGAAAGTCCTGGCACTGCTGATATTCACTAACTGCTAACTCCCCCAACTTAGAAGATCTAATCCAGGTTGGGGGTAACACAGGAGCGTCAGGCTGGGCTATGCCAGGGCCCTGGCTGTGACCGTCTCGGGCCAAGTGGCCAGGAGCCTGGGGCAGCCTGTCCATTATGCCCTCGAAGACAAGATGGCAAGGACACAGGGCCCCAGACTGGACCCTGCAGAAGAAGGGGTTCCTGTGGGGGAGGGGCCTTCCCCACTGCAGCCCTGACATGAATCAGAGAGTCGCTTGGGAGAATAACGTTGGAGGGGTCTGCGTGCGCGCTTGCGGCCTGTGGGGGTGTCCCGGGGAGCCCACCCAGCACTACAGAGCCCTGTGTCAGTTGGCAAGCACAATTTTCCAGGCCCCGTCTCTGAAAAAGGAAGCCCAAGTTGACTGGTTGGGTTGGTGAAGAAATCGCCACCGGATTAAAAATAGCAAATAAATGTAAGAAGTTAAAATGCTGTACAAAGGGGAGAATTACTTTGAAATGTTTACTCATTGCTGTGCTGACGAGGCATTTCAACTAAACATAGTTTTAAGTTCTGTTTATTTTCCATTTCCTAAAGTCAGCCTTTGGCTTATGCATCAAATCAACCTTTTTCCTAATCGAAGACAGAGAGAGGTCAGCTTATTCTTAGGAGCTCTCTATCTATGGATTGATCGATCGATCCGTAGATATTTAATACAGATGCTTACACCATACGTTACTTACTACTGTTTCTCAGGTCCTTATTATATATGTTATACGTTGCTATGTGTTTTATAGACTTGGTCTCTCTTGACGCCCAGCAGCTCTATGAGATCCTTAATATTATGCCCATTTAGCAGGTGATAAATTGAGTCTCAGAGAAGCTTCTGTCCCACATCCTTGTTTAAGGTCATACAGCTTAAAAGTGACAGACCTGGGGCGCCTGGGTGGCTCAGTTGGTTAAGCGTCCATCCGACTCTTGATTTCGGCTCGGGTCTTGATCTTAGAGTTGTGAGATCGAGCCCCACATCAGGCTCTTGCGCTCACTGGGGAGTCTGCTTGAGATTCTCTCTCCCTCCCTCTCCCTCTGCTCTCCCCCTGCCTCAATAAATAAATAAATAAATAAAATCTTAAAAAAAAAAAAAGGTGACAGACCTGGGATTTGGATGTTTGCTGAACCCCAAAGGCAGACAGCCTCAGAACACAGGGGCACTGTCTAACAAAGGCTGCAGGGACGGGGCGGGGTGGGCAGAGGGAATCCTCTCCATTTTTATTGGAGTGAGTGAAAACTCCCCAACCCTAAGTCCAGAGAAGTGAGACTTGCCAAGACCTGTTTGCTCTGTCTGCAGCTTTCATAAATACACATAACCGGTACCTCCCATTTCTCCAACTCAAAGAGGAAAATAGGGCCAGTCTCTGTCTTGAGGATTCCCTCCACTCTCCCCCCGCAAAGAACCCGGGGAGCAGCAGCTCCCCCCAGGGCTGCCAGTCCTGCTGACTGCCCCCATCATCCCTCCAGAATAGATCCAGGACAGTCAGGTGGAGGGCTGCTGGTTTCCCCAGGCACAGTTGGGTGAGGTGATGGAGGAGGATGCCCCATGTCTTGGCCAGGGCCGACCCACCGCCCTCAATGTCTAGCTCTTTGGAGACACGAAGTCTTGCCAATCCACACATTGGGTTACTGAACAAAGACTTACACTGGGGGTCTCCCTTGGCCAGGCGTGGGCCCAAGTGCTTAACAGAAATGACCTCGTTTAATCCTCATAAAAACACTAGACTTTTATCATTCCCATCTTACAGATGAAGAAACCGAGGCACGGAGAGTTTAGAAAGCTCCCCAAGGTCATGCTGCTAGTTTGGGATGTGAGCCCAGGTGGTCTGGCTCCAGAGTCCTCCGCAGCCCCCTGTATGTGCTACCATAGCCTCCTGGGTATCGGGGTGCAGAGTCTACCCGCTTCTCTGTGTTCCTCCCTGTCAACTGACCTCATCAGGGCCATCCTGGTCCATCCCAAAGAGTGGAAAGGTCTAGATTCCCCCCTCTCCGTCCCCAAGGCTTACTGGCCCACTGCAGGCTTCCAGGCACCTTTCCAACCATCTTCACTCACCTCCACTGCGGGGAGCCACACAGATCTCCCTGGCTACAGCCCTTCCTCAGCCAGACGTTTCTGGTCTTACCCTGTTTCCTGAAGCCAGTGAGTGCCAAAGGGACCCTTGACTGGTTCCTCCCAGTTCAAGACCACTCCAAGACGGCTTCATGACTTCACTGCCAGAAATACGAACAGCACACAACACTGAAAGGGCAATTTCTCTGGTTAAATAAACCAGCTGCCACCCCGCAGCATACGTGATAATATACATTACATAAGGTGTACCCGGCTGGCTCAGTCGGCAGAGCATGTGACTCTTGATCTCGGGATCATCAGTTCGAGCCCCACATTGGGTGTGGAGCCTACTTAAAAAAAACAAAAGGGGCGCCTGGGTGGCTCCGTCGGATAAGCATCTGCCTTGGGCTCAGGTCATGATCCCAGGGTCCCGGGATCGAGTCCCGCATCGGGCCCCCTGCTCAGTGGGGAGCCGGCTTCTCCCTCTGCCCCTCCCCTTGCTCATGTTCTCTCTCTCAAATAAATAAAATCTGTAAATAAAATAAGGATGATATATATATATATTATTATTATTATTATGTACATACTACCTATGGCTCCAGATTGATGGTTCTTAACCTTTTGGGGGCTACATAATCCTTTGAGAATCTGATGAAAGCTATGAAAGCTTCCCAAGGAAAAAAACCAACAACTCACCTCGCACAAAATTTTACCTACAATTCCAGAAGCCCTCGGCTGCCTCCTCCCCAGCCCTTCCGCCCCTCCAATTTTTTAAAAAGTTAAGAAAAGCACTGTGGTGCTGTCCAATAGAACGGTCTGTGATGGTGGGAAAGTGCCACGTCTCTGCTGTCCACTGCAGTAGCACGAGCCTCACGTGACCACCGGAATTAATTAAATAAAAGGTAACATTCAGTTCCTCGTTGCGGAAGCACAGGGCTAGCGGCCGCCGTCTTGGACAACGCAGTTCTCGAGCGCATCCTGCAGAAAGAGGGTCATCCGGAGCATCAGGAAATGGCACAGCTGGGCTGCGCCGTGGGTTGGCTTGCTGTCACTGGCTTACGTTGAGGGGCCTCCAGTGAAAGAGCCCGAGCACATGGCTTTCTCCCCGTGCTTCCTCTAAGACGCTGTCCGTTATATGAAGCATACCAGGTATTAGAAGGAGTCTCCATGGCAATCCACTTTTGGGGCCTGGGATCCCCAAATGCAACATGGTAAGGCGACTTTTCTTTGGTCACTAAATTTTAGTCCTTTAAATTAGTTGAAGGCGGATGGCCTTTCCATATCAAGGCAGGCAGTGTGTTCCGATTATAACGCAGCTGTGTGACTGTGAGGACAGGGACGGGGTTTAAAAGGTAGCAGGTGACTGAGTTTGGGCAGAAGATTTTGCAAGGTCTGATGGGTCCCTTGTGCTGAGCAGCCCGGCGCTGCGTGCCCAGCAGCTCCCAATAGGACCAGAAGTAGAGGTGGTCGGCCCCACACGCTAGCGGGCTGGAGGCTGTCTCTCCGTAATCACTGGAGACGAGAGGACAAGCTCTCGGGCTCTGCAGCCTGCGACTGTCCCTACTGAGACCGAGGGCAGAAGGAACCGGCTTCCCCTGAGCCTGTGGCGTCCTCAGAACCTGAAGGCTGCCATGAGCCTGCGTCTGACAGATCCTTTCTTGCCAACCGCGTCTAGGGAGGCAGCACTGAAGCTTGCTTTTTTTCTACTCATACCTGGTCAAGGTCACCGATGACCTCTGTGTTGCTAAACCCCTTGGCCCCTTCCCAAGTCCCCATTTTGTTTGACCGACCAGCATCATCTGACACAGCTCATCCCTCCCTGATCCTGGAAACTCTTTCTTCCTTTCCGTTTGGATTTTTGGATGCCCCTCCCTTGGTCCTCACCTCCTTTGCTGACCACTCTTCAGTTTCTTCTGCTAGCCCCCACCCTCTTTCTGTTGGGGGACCCCAGGACTCAGTCCACTTACACTCCCTCCCTGGGTGATCTCATCCAGCCTCATGGCTTATCACTCTCATCTGTACGCTGCTGACTCGCAAACTATTATCTGCAGCCATGACCCTTCTGCCAACCTCCAGGCTCTGATAGCCAGTAGCCAGTTCAAAGTCTCGTGGATGTGTAATAGGACTCTGAAAATGGGACACATCCCAAACTGAAGTCCTAACCCACACCTGGCCTCCCTAGGCTGCTTCTCCGAAGTCTCCCCCCTTTCTCTGTGCACGGGAACCCCATGCTTCCCGCAGGGAACCCCATGTTTCCAGCGCTCTGGCAAAAATCCTTGAGGTCCATCTTTGACCCCTCTCTCTCTCTTCCCCCAGCATCTAGTCCATCAGCAATGCCTGCTGGTTCCACATACAAACTACAGCCAGAATCCAGACCCTTCTCTGCTTCTCTCCTTCCAGTCATCGCTCCCACCCTGTCCAAGCCACTGTCATGCTCTTGTCTGGCTGACGGTCGCTGCCTCCTACCCGGCTTTACTGGGCCCCTCCCTCCCCAAAGCCCGTCTTCAGCACGGCATCCAGGAGTGACCTATTTAGAACGAAATCTAGTCACATCTCTCCTCTGCTCAAAAGTGGCTCCCCGCCTTGCTCAGAGTCAAAGTCAAAGTCCCTTCTGTGGCCTAAGAAGTTCAAATGAACCTGGCCCCAGCTGACTCCCGACCTCATGTCTTACTGCTCCCTCGCTCACTTACTCTGTTCCAGCCATACCTGCCTCCTCGCTGATCTTGGAACAAAGAAGTCCTCTCCCCTGCCCAGGAGGCCAGAGGAACCAGACCGGGGCCCTGCGGTCAACACTGTCACCACCTTCATCATCGCTAATGAGAACCAGAGGCTGTAGCCAGTTAGCCCGTGTCCATCCTGGTCCCCCAGTGAGACCTCAGAGGTGACAGTACCAAGGAGCACCCTGGGCCGTGGTTACAACACTCATCTCTTACAGCCAAAGGGCCGTGGAGGGACAAAGTGGCAATTCTCTCCTAATTCAGAAAATAGTAACATAAGCACTTTATTTCTGATGCAGATAACTACATTATTCTACTGATTAATCAAAAAGGAAAAAAAAAAAAAAAAAAGAAGAGTGACCGCATGCCAGTAAGAAATGCGGATTGTTCTATAGGAGAAAGAGTCATCCCAACCCATTGAAGGGCAGGGTGAGAGAATCCCACAGCTGGGCTTGACAAGGCAGAGTGGGAATTGCCGAGCATAGGCGGGACCCTGGTGAAACAAGGCGGCTGGTAAAAAGACGCGGTCATTGGTGGAATGGGCTGCCCACCAAAGGTAAATCTATCTAAAGGATAACAGCTCAACAGAAAGCCGGAAAGAAAGTCACCCACGTCCCAGGATATATATGTGTTTCCCACATGAGGACCATGGGGATGACTCCCACGAATGGTGCGTTA